CGCGGGTCTAGTTCCTGCACGAAAACAAAGAGAAAGCAAGAAACCAAGAGTGCAATCTGAATATTGCGAATATAAGAGGAAATCTTTATTAATCAAGTGGGATTCTGTGACGTCTTGGTTTGGTCATTAAACACAAACGAAGAACGCGAGTTGCAGCTATGGCAAACTTTAATCTAAACAAAATCCAAGTCTAAAACAAAGCCCTAAGGGATGTATTTATAGGGAGATAGAGGGGAATTTCGTCCACTCTTGACAAGGTGGGACTAAATTCTGTCCTAAGACATTTTCCCTATTAATACAGAGCATAAAAACAACCTATTAAGTGTATTTCAAAATTACATGGGCCTGGCCCAAAAATAAGGTGGCGCAACGCCTATATTAAGCTATGGACAAAATTTATGGAAGGCAATCTTGGATATTTCCTCCATGTCCTTGTATGTCATCATGGTGGCTCCAAAGTGTTGAAAACTCCACCAGAAACTCCATTCTTTTCCCTTTGCGCGCGTTGTCCTCTTCATGCTTGATCATGCTCCAATGTTCATTGTTCTTGTCCATAATAGGCCTTTCATTTGTAAGCAAAACAAATGTATCCAATTTAGGCAGTATCATATTCTCATGAACATTAGAATCGTTACCAAGAAATGTAAGTACCTGGTAAATTAATTGGCATGTGCGAGCTCTAGTAATTGGTCCAGTATATGTAGCAGCAGGGGTTGTTGGTGTAACTGTAGTAGTGATGTCCTCATCAACTGGTTGGCAGTCTGGGGGTGCTCGGCCCAGCCCATACTTTGGGGTGACGTAGTTAGCACCTTCCTATGTAGGACACCATCACGGGGGTGGTGGCATTAGTGCAGGCACCCCAGAGCTCTTCTTATTCCCAGCTAGTGTGAGTGCATCTGCAATTTCACCTGATGTTGTGTGAATTATGTGATTAGAGGCCCGCTTCCTGCTAGGGTCAACGACAAACATCACGACGTCACGGTCGTCATCTAGATGATCATGTGGATCAACCACTCTGTCACGTCTAGCTAAACCACGACTTGGCCCTCTACTAGCTTAGGCACGACCACGTCCTTGGCCTGATCAACCTCTGTTCCTGCTTTCACCAGGGGCCCAAACATGCTCCCCTAAACCATGATGCACAGAGATCCTTGGAAACTAGCGCCACCAGTGCATGCACGCCGTCGCCATGCTCCTTGTTCTGGTACCCTAGATGACCACAAACAACACATGAATCTGGCAATCTCTCGTATGTAACAAAGAAAATTAGCCTCTGCCCATCTCTTTGAAGAGAAAGCGTTTTCAATGGTTTATAGACATTAATCCTAACCCGTACTCGGAAGAAGTTTCCTTTGAAATCCTGCACTCAACACAAACAAACTCTCCCAGTTTTCGTTTCAGATATTTGAGCAACAGAAAGTAACCATCAAGAAGGTTATGGTTCTGAACCCATATCTCTAGAGTGTCAAATTTGATTGTGGAAGGTTTAGCGAAGCAATCGTAGGGCGCAAGGTGGACCGTGTTATCTCTGAAAGTCCACGGTCTGTCCTCTATGACCCTTTCCAAGTCTCTCGGGCAGGAGAATTGCATGGTGCACAGGTTGTCTTCCAAAGGCTTTGATATGCACCTCGGCAAGGTCCTAGGCCACATGCATGTTCTTGAAAAACAAAAACTGGTTGTAAGTCTTGTCCATGCGAATCCTAGCTATAGCCATCTAGCATGTCGCCTCCTCTAGTAGAAGCTTCCTCCTGTAAAACTACGATGTCGTCTAGCTCCTCCTCTGTCAGACCTAATCTTTTCATCATGACCTCAACTTCACTCACGTCGCCACCCGAGTTTGAATCCATCGACTCCATAATGTTTCTGGGCCCGAAATGGTAACCTACTGACCCATGTCACAACCCTAGACCCGTAGTCCCCTACCGGAACCGACCAAGACCTCGCAACGTTGCAAGGGTCATCCCTCAATCAATCCAAGTAGGTTTAGCGCAAAAAGATGGTAGGGAGGGATGAATTCTCAACGCCGCCGCCGAGAGGAAACACTAGAAACACTGGTCCTTAATTTGATTATTACGTACTTGAAGGTGTGCAGACCATGAACGTTACCGGCCGGGCCTGAGTCGGGCTTACTCTCTCATACGAACCCGCGTGCATGGAGACCTACCCAGGTTCCTCCATCATAGTGTGCACAGACACCATACAGTAGATTCGTAAAGGCTGGCCCAGGTGACAGACAATTTACGGGGTCACAACGGAACGTACCTATCACTAGTCTACCACGAGAAGCAGAGTAGCAGTAGAGTAACGCAGAGCAGGTGGCCCGCTCCTGTTGGGCTACTCCTATTCCGCCGGGAATCCCGGGTTACGTATTTCCCGTTCGAACGAGCGACTGGCCCTGGCCGTAAAGCGAAGATCGGCCGAGATCGCCGTCGCACGTCGTCATTGGCTAGCTGGCCATCATGGCAGGCGGCATTGTCCAAAACGCCCCTCTGGTTTGACCGCCGCAGCCGCTGCGTTTTCCGTTGATCGGGTTGGTCACCCAGGCCCGGGGGGCATGGTGGGCAATTGCTCGGCACGTGCAGACAGACAGAGAGAGAGAGAGAGAGAGAGAGAAGCGCTGGAGGTGGAAAGGGAGGAGCGCGATGGTGCAAATCTACAGGGGAGTATTTGTTTACCGTGATGATTCGCCTTTGTGGGCTTGCTTTCCTGTCTCGCCCGTAGGGTTCAGCCTACACGTTCTTGACTGCGTCTCATTCGGTGGCCCGCCGGCCAGGTGTAGGAATTGATTCTGTGGGTTCAAATTCGCATCATCAAGTGCTGGCTTGGCTTGGCTTGGCTTGCTTGCTTCCTCTTTACCCCTGGCCCCTGCGGTCTACGAAACCGCAGCAGTAACATTTCAAGTGCTAATCGATGGCCATTGCCCACTAGCGGATCATGGTGATTGATGCCATGCGTAGCTTCTGCAGCAAGTCCAGTCGCCCGGGCCAGACGGTGGATTGAAAACTACGTACTTGCTAAAACCACGACAAGTAATTTGGAACGGAGGGAGTATATGCTGGTACGTACTTACTCCGTTAATTACACACAGTATGTAGTAATATTTACATCTGGTGGAAGAACGGATCATGTTTTTTCCCTTGAAAAGAACAAGAATGGATCATTTCTCGTCTGCACGCAATACATGCTTGGGATGAATACGGCATCCACAATCAATGTACTGTACCGCACGCCTGCCGTCACTAGTGCCGGTACACTAATATCAGCCACGTACCACACCAGCTGCTCAAATTTCCCTCGCAAAACAAAGCAAGGTTCGAATTCAAAACCTAGTCTACTGGACCGAGCAGGACTAGGAGTACCTTCCAAGGGGAGCAAAACAAAGCGACCCACAGACGCACGGCCCGCGCCACGCTTTGATTGCGTTCGCATGCTCTCCTCTCCTCTCCTCTCCTCTTGATGGCAAAAGGCATCATCATGCTTGCTTACGGCGACACACACACGGCGGTACGGTCGTACCATCCGTCCATGTAGCGCAGCGTGGTGCATGTTAAAAGATACAGAGATGCACGTGTACCCTGTTACCTGCATGTTAACACACGTAGACCCACATGCAGGCGGCACCATCATCGTGCGCAACCACAGCCAGACCTGCAAGCGCAAGCGCAAGCGCGAAGCATGCATGATGGCAACCATATGGGCCAACGGAACCAACAAACCTCATATTTCTTTCTTTCACTGTACGTTTAGATTATGGAGTACCAAAGGGAAGCCTTGCACTTGCATCTTGCATGGATGGATTGGCTTTTTCCCCTCCTCCTCCTCCTCCTTTCCCCACTGGTCTTCCAGGCCTATTTAAGCAACTTTTGGCGTCACCTTTTGCAGCCGGAGCTAGCTTTGCCAGGCTAGCTATAGCTACAAGGAAGGAGAGAATCCGTAGGAGATAGGGAGCTGGGTCTTGTGATCTTGTCCTGGCTCGGTGACGTCCCCACGATCACTCATCGTCAGATCTCAACACCCAAGGATATCTTGGTCCGTTGCCTCTTGGCGGTCGTGGGCGGTACGCTCGTGCTGGTACGTGCGATCCATATGGCTGTAGCCTTTTGCCATGCCCAGCCTAGCAGTGGTTCGTACGTGGTATATGCGCGCAGTCATGTGTGCATGCCCGCGCCTGCGAAGGAGGGAACAGTGACTGGGAGTCGAGCTTCTGTTCACCAGCGAGAAAAAAGGGAGCACTGGAGACGGTCTAATCGCATCTCCGGCCGCCCGTCCCGATCTCTGTCATGCGCGCGCGTTATTGAAATTTGTAGGGTTGCTTGGTCGATCTGGGCATGCACTGGACCTACTGTGTGGAGTTTGGAGTCATGCATGCGTGCATTGTCTTGTTCCGTGGCCGCATCTCCCTCCCTCGTGCCGCTGTTGGGTTTGGGTGTGGGCTTTTCTTGGCAACTTGGCCGCTGGGGCTGGGGGGCAGCGGCAGATGGGCAGTGGAGGGCCCGGCCAGGGATAATAAAATGAAAGATGTTCCATTGTTTTCCTTCTTTCCTCCTCACGTACAAAACATATTTGCAAGTAAGGCTTTTGGGTGCCAAAAATGAGTTCCCATCCATCCTTCTCGAGCTGGCCACCTTTAAATTCCCCTTTCTTGTTCGAGTCTTTTTGGGCGTACGCTGTCCCTTTTTGAACCTTGGGTCGCCCAAAATCTCTTGCATGGCAAATGTCGCTTCCTTGGACGTCGCTAATCCATTTCTTTAATAAATCCTTTAATGAATTAATTAATTAACGAGAGAGGGCCCTGCGCTAATGGCTGCCCTCATCGCGTAGGTAGCCCCCTTTTTATCTCCGGCCCGACGCCATCCACGCGCCCCCTTCCGTTTCCCTCTCTTATTCAAACCTCCCCTTCTTTTTCTACTAGCTCACTCACGCTTCCCACTGCTCTCTTTGTTCACTAGCAGGCCCTGCCCACCGCCGCCTCTCGCCGGCCGGAGTCCTCAGGTCCGGCGATGGGCAAGGCGGCGCGCTGGATCCGGGGCTTCCTAGGAGGCGGCGGTAAGAAGGAGCAGAGCAAGGACCAGAAGCCGATACCTCCGCCAACCAATGCCAAGCGGTGGAGTTTCGGCAAGTCGTCGCGGGACTCGGCGGAGGCCGCTGCCACCGCTGCGGCTACGTCGGCGCGCGGGGGCAACGTTGCGATCGCGAGGGCGGCTGAGGCGGCCTGGCTCAGGTCGGTGTACGACGAGACGGAGCGGGAGCAGAGCAAGCACGCCATCGCCGTGGCGGCCGCCACCCAAGCGGCGGCCGACGCAGCCGTGGCTGCGGCCCATGCCGCCGTCGCTGTCGTGCGGCTCACCAACAAGGGCCGCGCCGCCCACGCCGGCGAGCACCGCGGACCGGCGGCCGCGGCGGTCCGGATCCAGACGGCATTCCGAGGCTTCTTGGTAAGCATCAATCAGAATACAGCGATCTCCTGCTGCGCTGTGTTCTTGCCGTGACGAAATCTCGCGCTGGTTTGCAGGCTAAGAAGGCGCTGCGTGCGCTCAAGGCGCTCGTGAAGCTGCAGGCGCTGGTGCGCGGCTACCTCGTGCGAAAGCAGGCGGCCGCCACGCTGCAGAGCATGCAGGCGCTGGTGCGCGCGCAGGCCAGCATGCGCGCCCACCGCGCCGTCGCCAGCGCCGCTCTCCCGCAGCTCCACCATTCTTCTTTCCGGCCGCGCCGCTCCTTGGTAGGCCATCAATTAAACTACTCCGTATATTTTTTTGATTCCGTTTGTCAACGTACTCCATCTGTAATCAATGGCGACGATTCTAACGGAAATCATGTCATGTGCAATGGTTGTGGTGCAGCAGGAGCGGTACGCGGACGACACGCGGAGCGAGCACGGGGTGGCGGCGTACAGCCGGAGACTGTCGGCGAGTATCGAGTCGTCGTCCTACGGGTACGACCGGAGCCCCAAGATCGTGGAGATGGACACCGGCAGGCCCAAATCTCGGTCGTCGTCGCGCCGGGCGAGCTCCCCGCTGCTCGACCCGTGCGAGGAGTGGTGCGCCGCCGCCAACCCCATGTCGTCGCCGCCGCTGCTGCCGTGCCACATGCCAGGCGGCGCGCCGCCCCGCATCGCCGTGCCGACCCCGCGCCACCTCCCGGAGTACGACTGGTGCGCGATGGAGAAGGCCCGGCCGGCGACGGCGCAGTGCACGCCGCGGTACATGAACGCGAACGCGCCGGCCACCCCGACCAAGAGCCTGTGCGGCGGCGGCTACTCGTCGTCGTCTCTGCTCAACTGCCCCAGCTACATGTCCAGCACGCAGTCGTTCGAGGCAAAAGTGCGGTCGCACAGCGCGCCGAAGCAGCGGCCGGAGCCCCCCACGAACAGGAAGCGGGTGCCGCTGAGCGAGGTGGTGGTGGTGGAGTCCCGGGCCAGCCTGAGCGGGGTCGGAATGCAGCGGTCGTGCAACCGGGTGGAGGAGGCGTTCAACTTCAAGACGGCCGTTGTCGGCCGCCTCGACCGCCCGTCGACGGGGGCCGTCGAGAATGACCGGCAAGCGTTCTTGCAGAGGAGGTGGTGATCTGCTCTGCTCTGTTCTAGCTACTTCACACGGTTCATGGCAGTGAGACGACGAGAGCTCTGCGTAGTAATTAGCAATAAGAATGCGTTTTGAGGTGTTCTTGGGAGCTCTCGTCCCTGCTTTCTTTTTGTTCTTGCATTCATCGTTGTGATCAATCATGTGATTTGTGTTCCTTTTTCTTTCTATTTTTTGGTTATGTGTTTGCTGGTCGCAAACAAGTGTGGTAGGAGAATTTGATTCATAGCGCACTTTGATGTAAATTCTTTCTCAATCCCTGTGTTCTTCCATTACGACTCGTTCTGTTTTTTGCTTTTGCTCTGCATTATGTTTCTTGTTGATTCCGAGCTTCAGCCGGGTTTCGTTCCGTTGATAAAAGCATCGTTGGAATGTGGGCGTCAATCCCTCTCATGCGTCATCGTGTCAATAAAGAGCATCTATAGCCGAGGACATCAAATCCGGACAGGGATCAGGTGACATGCACCTTTGCATGTCACCGTGTGACTTGCGGCCCAAATTCATACTTAAACATTGTAAAAAAATCTGAAAAAATAATGCATGTTCATAGCACATATTAAGATAATCTGTAAAAAATTCAGATCAAAATTCGAAACATACACCAAGAAGCAAAAAAGAGAAACTCATATGTGAATAGTATACGGAGAACCATTCGCGACGATTTTTCTTTTTTGCTTCTTGACGTATGTTTCGAATTTTGATCTGAATTTTTTAGGGATTATCTTAATATGTGCTATGAACATGCATGATTTTTTTCAGATTTTTTTACAATGTTTAAATATGAATTTAGGCTGCAAGTCACACGGTGACATGCAAAGGTGCATGTCACCTGATCCCTGTCCATCAAATCCACTCCTCCAATGTCCGCGGATGTGTTCGGGCACGTCTGCATGCACTGACCGAGCATTTTCTATTTTGTTGCATCCACACTCGTGTATGTCAAATCCAGCCCCTCATATCCATGCAATACATGCACGTATGGAAATAAACGCAGGCGTCAACGAACTAGCACCAAGTCTAGTTATATCGGGCATAATTGTAGCATCAGCGATCATCGGACAACCAAAAGATGTGGTTTCAATTGAAAAGTACCATAAAATACGATTGATAAAAAATACTTAATTAAACGGGGAAGGGCATCGGAGTCGTCCGCCAGCTCCATGTGACACCCGACAAGCCTTCAGAGCAATCATTCCTTCTCCTCGGCGTGCCTTCGTCGGTGCCTTCCACCGGCGATAGTGAGTCGAGGCCTTCATCGCCGCCTTCGCCGACGCCTCGCGCTCCGACAGCTCGATAGTGAGCCGGAGCGCCTTGGCGTTCTTCCGCCACAATCGATATGCATCTGTCTCCGCCATTGTCAAGGAGCGTGGGAGGACGGACGCAATGACCACGTCCTCGAGATTAACCGGCGCGTGCGAGTGCCTGTCGCCTTGCCTGCGGGTTGCTCGCCGCCATAGCCTCCCCCGCGCGTTGCCGCTTGCGACGTGCGACCCGCGCCTCCGACTCGGGCGTCCTCGACCTGCCTGGCGTCGGCGAGGGCACAAGCACCCAACGGTGCTCGTGGACGCTCTCCGGAGGTAGAATGGACGTGGTGGAGGCAGGGCGGATACCTGGAGTGGGACAGAGCGGATTACGTCCCACCGGTGTTGCACGCCAGACAAGACGGCCCGGCAACGTCGCCCGCACTGCGATGGCAGGCGAAGGGGAACGACGCGTCACTCCGTGAGCTACCTCCGCTCCTGTCACGCCCTAATCTAAATGGGAACGGCGCAAAGCAATGCGGAGAGCGACCGCGTTGATGTCACTCTCGTCGCCATTGGAGTCGGAGCCGCTGCGTTCGTCCGCCATGGATCGGATTGGGAGAGGAGAGGACAGATTGGGAAGAGGGGGCGGCTTGTAAAGAGGAGGACGGAGAGTGGAGTGGACTAAGGTCAAGGGTTCATCGAAGGGGATATATGTGGGGCGGGGTAGGTCGGGCTGACGTGGCGGACGGGTTCGGGCCGCCCCATATTTTTCGGCTGGATATGAGAGGCGCTGGACAATCCGGGCGTCTGAGGACGGTTTGAGGCACCCGGAGAGGTCAGTTTTTTGTGACCGTTCGCTGACCTGTCAGCCTGCCCAGCGTTTGCGACAAGTTTGAGGTCGCCGGCTGTTGATGCTCTAAGAGCGTCTACAACCGTAATTGCCTAATCCGGCCCCTATACATCCCCGAACGCGCCACAATGAGTGGGCGACCCTCAAATAACTCAATTTGCAATCACAATCCCTACTTTCAAAACATCAAATACATGCAAACACTTGCATGTTGATCATCTTGGTCAAACAATAAGTAATGCACGCAAATACAAATTATTCATACTTAAGAATACATATTCCAAATATAGCTCAACATAAATATTCTTCATAGTGCATAATTGTCAAATTAAAATCAAAGTTCACTGATTTCATGCTCGACAAGATCATTTAGAAGTTGCATCTACATCTGTTGATCTCGCAGTTGTTGATGCATCTTCAGAAAGTTGGCAATGTGCTCTGCCTCTTATTTCGGGAGGCGGACCTGAACACCAGGCTTCTCAAAATCATACGTGTGAGCTTCCCCTTCACCCTCATCCTCGAAACACAACATGCGCTACTGCAGGATGCTGCTAGCGCGACTCTACAATCAGAGACCCTTCGGTGAAACTGTGTGCGGAGCATTAATCGCGAACGGTGATGTAGTAAAACCGCCAAAAAGATACAAAATGTTTGTGATGGCGTAGACAACAAACACGTTTTAGATTATAGTTGCGTGTGCGATGCGTGGCATACAATTCACTCGAATGAACTGTTTGCGATGAGCTTAACAATATAAACGGGCAACCAGATGAAAGTGTGTGCGATATACAGCATACAGTTCACCTCGATGAACTGTTTGTGATGAGCAAAGACAACAGAAACGGTCAGCCAGATCAACGTGTGTGTGCGATATACGACATACAGTTCACTCAGATGAACTGTTTTGGATTAGGCAACACAACAGAAATGGTCAGCTAGATCAAGGTGTGTGCGATAGAGGGCATACAGTTCATTCCCATGAACTTTTTGCGTTCAGCCAAGAGAATAGGAACGGTTCAACTTAAAAAGACGTGTGTGATACATGGCAATCAGGTCTGTAATTAGAAATGTGTGCGAAGACCGACAATAACACAGATGATTGCTGCTAATAAGCCGTGTGTGTTGTGGGCAAACGCTTGCTGGTATACAAAAGTCAGTTATTGATGAAATCATCAGCGACGGGTTCCCTAGTATGGTCCGTGTGCGATGTCATTGCACACAGATCAACAACATGTGTATTTATAATTTATAAGGACTTGATTCCATAAACAGGTTGAACATCCAATTACATAGGTGGCTAGTACACATATGAACTTTGCGCACATCAAAGTATGTTCCAAAATGCCTAGAAAACTCAAACAATGTATAAAAAGGCAAAACGAACACTGAATAATTTCATATTTTTAGGATGACGCTCCTATAGTTGCATGTTTCCTATGTAAAATAAATCAAGGCAGGAAGAGACAGCGTACGTCGTTTCGCACACATAGGTGACAAGTTCCCTCTTAGAACCATGATGCTTTTTGAGACAAGCTCCAGTTTGTAAGAAGTTTATATCAAAACTTGTCCCAAATTGGACTAACTTTTTACCACATCATGTTGGTGCCATATCATAATACCATACCAAGTTTCATGATTTTCAGGCGAGTTTTGGATTTACAGTAATTTTAAAACCAGGTTTCTCAATGTTTACTATCAAGTCGACACCGCCTTGGATAGGATTTTTCCTCGTGGGTCCCAAATGTTAGAATCCAAATATGTCACTACCATGCAACTTTTCTTATTAAGAATTACAACATATTTGGTGTGCTAGCTGAAAATAAGTTTGTGGGTGCTGCGGGCGCTAAGAACTTGCGGGTTCTGTAATGAACAATGATCTCAAGGATCCGACGAGAGTGACGTTCTTTCCCTATGTTGTGATTGCTCATAATATTTATGTCTTAATTAAAGAAATGGCAAGTCTTTGGCCCAGTATGCAAGAAAATATGGGTCAAAACCGAGTTGAAAAGGGCAACAATATCTAGCTTCAGCTTACAAACGGTCCAAAAGCACGAGGATTAATTTTCATCAGGTTTAGACAAAATCTAGATTAAAAAGGGCAATAACATCTAACTATACCAAAGTTTTGGGAAGACACAATCAAATGGATCATTCTGATCCATAAAATCAAGATCCCGGGCTAGAAATTCTACTGGTACATGAGGACAAGTTGTTGTACATAGAAGCCGAGCACATTCAGAAGCCCTTTTGTCCACCTAAAACTTCTTTTTATGTTGTTCAACACTTGCAGTCGTGAGAAATTTTTTGTTACAAAACCTAATCCTCACGGACAATAGTGCCCTCACATTCAACATGAAGAATGTGACAAAGCTAGTGTTTGAAGGGTTGGATGCATGTCCTTCCAGCGTTTCTGTCGCCAAACGAATGTCATGAGATATGAGAAAATCCCGGTGCTTCTGCAACCATCGATTGGTTATACCTTTTTCTCCTTGTGTTAGTGCCTAGATAGAGATGAAGATTGAAAATAGTTAATGTCTAAAAAAGAGTATGTTGAAAGAGCGATAGCTGAATGATTAATTATAGTACATTATATATGGGCTTTCAATGTGCGTGAAATCATCACCTATATATACAAATTCTCCAGACATGGAAAGCATTGCAGCAAGTCAATAATCGTGTTCAGATCAAAACACCACATACTGATATGTAAGGTCTTGACAGAATCCACCACCACTGATACGATGGACAAGCTCTTCATTGAGCATAGAACATAATATCAGTATCAAAAGTGTACTCCAAGATGATACTTAACTTATGAGCACAAACAAAAAATGCAAATTAAAAAAGTGTACGTGAGTAATATACAATACCTCAATAGATGTGGAGCCAAA